GGGCTGCACGTACGCCAAGCGCCATGGGAACCAACAGATAGCTTTCGCTATCAATCCACTTCCTGTAAAAAAGGAGAAGAAGAAAACAACTGGTCAGAGTTATTGTCTTCGTGAAATGGGACAAAGCGGACCGATGGCTCACCTCCGGAGCGAGTACTTCAACGCATAGCGCGCGAGGGTACCGACTACGGCGCCGTAAATGGCGCCCAAGATGACGTAGTAGAGCATGGTGTAAAGAACCCAGTTCTTAATGGCAACACCAACGCCGCCTCCTAGTCGCCCGACGTCTCCGGCTCGAGGATGAATCCCGCCTCCGTGACCCTCGACGGGTTCAACTTGGACGTCACTGGCATGGCGCATGAGATAGGTTGCGAGCATGAGAAATGGAAAGCCAAACCCATCGTTGAGGCCAGCTTCGGAAGAAATCATCTCACGGACAGGACGCGCAACATATTTGTCAGAGAAGGGGCCCTTGGCCACTGCTTGGGAGAGCACGGGGTCTGTACAGGTAACGCAGGCGGCGATTACCATAGCAGACAAAAGGGAAAGCTTGGGGATCGTTGCGAGAACGCAGGCCGTAGTGCAAAGCCACATCATGGTCATGACGGGGATCAAGACGAGCAGCATGTCCTTCCAGCGGGCTTGCTGATACTTGGCAGGCAGCTGGTAGCCGGCAATGATGAGCTGGATACCAATCATGACCCGCGTGAAGCCCTGAGGCAAATTGAGTTAGCGACAGATCCACACATACCCTCTTAGCACTGAGGAGCTACCAGTACATACCAGCGTAATTTCGGATGTCTGATACGGCACTGCACCTCCCCATCTGTCCGGAACGATATACCTTGCCGCTATGGGACCGAAGAAGATGCCAATCATGATGGCAGGTACTGGAGATGAGAGTGTCAGAGTTGAAGGGTGAGGCTGTGGGAAGATGTTGAACACTGGAGGACAAAAGAAAAGGAAAGAAAGAAAAAAAAGAAAAAAAGAAGAAGAAAAAAACAGTGAAAATCCATCTGCAAAGGAAATGGGAGGTAACGCCAGAAACATACATGCTTCACCCAGATACCACACATTCTTGATCTTGACCGACAGGATGCCGTAGAGAACGACGTAAAGACCTGTGGTGCAGCGTCAGTATTGGGACACCATGCCTGCCATGCCAAGGCCTGGATGATGCGGGATTTGAGTCTTGGCTCTTTTAACGTACCAAAGAGGGCGATGATGGTATTGAGGTCGGAAAGGTTGAGGTCCACCATGACGGGCAATCTTAGAGGAAGAATCTATCCGTCTCTCTTTTTTATTTTTTTTTTATTTTCTTTTCTTTATTGGGCTTGGAAGGGTTGAGGTGCGCGTCGCTGTTGGTGCTTTTTCTGTCGACAATGATTAAAGTCTCTCGATTGTGGCCCAAGATAATCGCAATATGCTTCGTGCAGACGCGCGCGGGGGGCTAGGCACGGCAGGCCTATGCATAGAAAGACTGTCAAAGTCTGCGCGGTGCAATCGATGCAAAGTGAAGTTGATGCAAAAACAAAAGGAATGATGGTTGCTGGCGGAAAGAGGCGGCGGCCGGGGGCCTGAAGGGGTGTTGGGAGTGGAGGCGAAGATGGAAAACGGCGACGCAAGAGAGCGTGCTGTGGAAAACACGCCTAGTAATAGCAAAGTAATAAATTAGTCTGGGGGAGTTATTGAGGCGGAGCGTGGGGAGCGATCCAGGAAGGTGGAGCCTGCGGATGGATTCTTTGAAGCAATTAACTAAGGTGGGGACGAATGCCAAGCCAGCAGAATTATCTCCTCGGTAATTATTCGTACCTACCTTTTGAGAGATGGAGAACGCGATGCCAATGTGGAAGCGAGTTCAACTGTATCTGGATGGCAGTGCAGCTGAGACAGTCCAGAGACCCTCCAGAGCAGATTACTGCAGGGGAAGACGACGAAAGGCAACCAGGTCCTGCTGGATTCCCTTCTTTTGAAGAACCAAGCTGCCGCGTGAATAATGGTTTAATCGAGGCGGCAGTTGGTCAGCGGTTCGTCCAGCGACCGCTCTTCAAAGACTCCCTACCAAGGCTTGGGCCTGACCCAAACCTGACCCTTTCTTTGACTGTTGAGAGGGTCAGAATCGCGGGACGGTGCGGAATAGGTCTGTGGCGTCACTGTCGGTAGGGTTCAATCGCTCGGGCAGGGCGGGTCGGGTCAGGGGTTCTAACAGGTAATCAATAAATAGGGAAGATGATAGAAGGCAGCAAGACGCAGCAGCAGGAATGTTTATGATGAATTGTAGGCGGGTTTGTGGTCTTGGCTGCCTGTTGTTTTGAAGGGTCTGGGTCTGGGCGGCTCGTTTCCTCCCTTGAAGATGGATGATGGGGTGGTGATGTGGCTATGGCGATTTGCCATATGTAGATCCTACCCCACCAGGGGGAGGCCGAGACGGGAGTGCGATGGACCGCAAGGATGTGGCCGGGAAGGCCTGTAGGTAGCTCGTCGCGATGGAATGAGTGTCCTCTCTCTCATGGAATGAGTCCCAAACGCCGTATGTGTCTCGTCGGGTAGCCCCGTTCGGTGGATATCGACTTGTTTCGTGGCCAAGCGATGGTATTTGTTGTCGGATTCCGACTACCGATGATACGCCCTGCGTGGCGTATGTTCCCTGTCTTGTGTCTGATGATCTCCTTCCTGTCCATTTCATGTGCGATTCTAAATACGTACATGAGTAGGGAAACCATACCCCAACAGGCCCGTGCTGCGTGGCAGACGCCCTCGGTGCTGCCACAGCTACGATATGCCCCGAGCAGGGGCTCGAGTGTCGCGAATCACAGACTCGGAGTGTCTCAACAATTCAACGACTCGAGGAGGTTCGATCTTCATCGATGTCTTCGCAAACCACAAGTTGCTTCGAACGGGAGGACAAGGTCCGACTAAGCGTGCTGATGGAGAACCCAATCGACCGTCCCTGTTCTTATCGTCACGGAAATGATATGTCCAGCAGATTAATCGCCTACTAGTACGATGGTCACTATCGGCGTGATAGCTGCGATAGGTCGTGCTCGTGATGACTGCTGTCTCAGTCCAGTCCCCTCGACATCGTATTTCCCTGGGGACTGACTACGTTGTACGAAACCTGCCCAGCGATCAACGGGAAACGCTGGGCAATGCTGAGCGCTGGAGCTGGTCCATGACATGACTGCCGGGAGAGAAACGGGGCACGAACCTACAGGGAGAAACAGGCCAGCCAACTACGTGTAGGCCACTTGACACGGCCAAGCCTTGGCGTAGGGGAGAAAACGTACTCGCATAGGCTGCACCGTAGTCTTGGTATGTCTTGGCTTTCGCAATCGGGCAAGTGCCCACACGCCCAGCCCGGGGGGACATGGATGAGGAGAATCGAGCATTGGCAACTTGGCAGAACAGGGTGTAATGGGGTTTCTTCAACACGGAAAAGAAAGCCCAAGTTAAAGCTTCATTTTTGAAGATGGGAGAACGAGGAAACAGTGAGAGGAAAATTGAAGGGAGTCGAGAAAAAAAGCGCAGTCGGCCACGAGGCTCGACTCCTTTGTCTTTTTTCCGTGGCCCTTGGCCAGTCTAACCTTCATTTTTCCTTAGACTAAAGTAGCCAATTTGTCTTTCACCCTCCACGTGTCTCATTGAGGTAGGGTAGTCGGACGTTCCGGGTAGCCTGTTATTCCCGCAAGTCAGGGACAATTCGGTTCGTACTATATACACATCAAGGCGCCGAATGCAGTGAGCCAATTGGCGTATATATACATGAGACTGCGATGTACCTTTTATTATTGATGGAAGAGAAGAAGGACCACCTTTTGGCCGGTCGGTTGGGGAAGGGGGGGGGGAAGAAAAAAGTCCGATCCCCCACGCTCTGGACGTCCTTGGCACTCGAGATAAACCGTCCTTCGTGTGTCCTTTGTGCACAGTCCCCTTTTGTTTCACCAAGACAGAGGTCCGACAAGAGCCCCTGGCAAATCCATTTCATACTGCCCCTAATTATTGCCGCTCTAAAATAATGATAATGGTGTCTCTCTACGATATTCATGGGACAGCGGGGACAGAGCGTTTGGCCTGGCTGGTATCAGTCAACTCAGCACCCGCGGGGGATAATAATACCTACATTCGTTAATAAATGTCCCATTTCGGTTTCAGCTCCTGATAAGCAGTTCGAAATGGGTCTCATTTATTACTTGACAACATTAATCATAATCTAGTAATTTTGGCTTAACGGCCGTCCTCATCATCATTCTCCAGACCAGTCGCAAAAAAAAAAAAAGGCCGAGAAAAGGTGCTTGACGTTACTCGGATGTTACGAAGTACTTACGAGAAAAGGCATTTTTACGTACCTAATAAGGTACTGTTGGCCCAACTGGTATGTGGAGTAGTGCTCTTCGGGTCATATTTAGGTCAAATGGCAAGTCGCGCTGGTCTGTGATCTCGTAATAGCCTCAGAAATGGGAGGATGGACCTCAAATGAGGGCAGGGAGAAAAAAAGAAGAAAAAAAAAAGGCCCCAAAACAGGAAGAGGAACAAGGGCGGATACCATCAACCGCCACGGTATTTGTCAGCACCCAGTCCACCCCGATGTCCATGTTCGTATCGCTCGCAGAGGTCCCATAAGAGCCGACTGCTCACGAAGTTGAATAATTACGTGGAGGAAAGTCAGGATTGCGACACTACATGTGGTAAGTATTCCCATGCCACTGTTGCGTGTGGGATTCGAGAGAATGTGAGCATCGTGGTGCAGGCATCACTCACGTACGCACATTGAGTGCAGAATCCCTTCCTGGGCTCCTTTGTCTTCTCGATTCTTCCCTCGGCATCGTCCACCATGGCGGGAGGGAGAATCGTTATTCTGACTACAGCCGCCCTCAGCTGACTTGCTTTATACCTGTCATAAGTACGCAGAGTGCATGTGAATACTTCGTGCTTGCTGATATCATTCAATATCGCCTATAAACCGGCCAATGGTGGTTGCAGCCACAAGGTGGCGCGGCGCGGCGGTCCAATCCTCTGTTGAGCTGTTCTGAACTGTACTCTCAGCTCGAGGTAATTCCTGTTGGTCTACCGTGCTGCGATTATTGTCTCCCTCTCACAGTTCGCCCAATCGCCTAATCGCCCTTTCAACAAGTGGATGGGCCAGGGGTTTATGCCATACCAGCTCATTGATTCGGTCGCGACCATAGGTCCAGACTGTAGCACAACATGGCATAGCATCGCAGGTTCTGAGTGAAAATATGCATGTCAGATGTTCCTCGCAGCGTGCCCCATTCCTCTTGAACTGGGGTGAACGCGGGGGTGGGCATCAGTGGCCACCGCAGAAGGAACAAATTGAGGAGGAGATCGCGACAACGACGATCCCTACAAGTGTACAGCAGGACGATTTCTCTGTTGCGACCACAGGCGGCGAAATCGGCATTTCTGCAAGCATGACAAGCTATGCACACTGCCCTGAACCGCCGTTACGATGGACACTTGCCAGGCGCAGGGAAGACCTGACCTCTATGGGCTCGGTATTCGCATCGCCTTTTACCTGCCGTGGTTTGGTGCCATCACTGCGGAATATCTCGAAGTCTCCTACCATTCTGATGTGCGATTGCTCGGCCTCCTCCTCTCAGCAGCCACTTTCCTGGGTCTCGTCGTAAGCCAGTCGGCCGCCGCTCTGCAGCCTGTCGACTTGTACATCACGTACTTATTGGCGATGGGACTCTACATCCCACTGATCCCATTCTACGCTCGGAAGGCTCTGACACTATGCGACCGCTACTGGGACCCGTTGCGATGGCCGAAGGAGAGAATGAGCCCGGCCTCCAAGGCCATGAGCTTCGTCCTACTTGTCGCGCTCGCTTCCCTCGGGATCTGGTATTGGGCATCCTATGTCCCCGATCACGACTGCGCCCCCCAGCAGTCCGGGTTTCTCTTCAGCCCCGTGTCTTTGGGAAACAGGGCCTATATTGCCTTCAATGCCATTCTATACGTCGTCATCCTGTTGGTGTGTGCCGGCATTCTGCTGCACAAGGCCGGCTGCAGGGTCAAGATCTGGGCTGTTAGGTCCCGCCGCCACCGCCGCCGCCATATCCGGTACGTAAGGACTCACTCACCGATGGACTGGGAAATTTCTTGGGCGGTTATCCGACTGACCGTCCTCTGCTTTGCATTCGCAGTCAATCCCATGTTCGGAACCTTCGGATCTTCAGCAATCTAGTCACTGTCACTGTTCTCACAGCCGCAGTTGAGCTCACCGTCGTATGGAATGACATCTCCTCAGCCAACGATTTGACCAATGCCGCGCAGACTATCCCTTTGTTCATATCTATCGGGTTTGTAACTCGGGCTATATTCATGCACTTTGCGGAGGCCGAGGTTGGTTCGGACGACTCTTCGGATTCCGATGATGGCGAGGCCTCTGGGATATCCCGGAGCAGTGCGATGGCAGAGTCACATCCATCAGGACCGATTATTCCACCGCCGCCCCCAGCTCATACTGGATAACCGGATTTGGCCGTTGGGTTTTTCTTTTCTTGTTGTTGTTCCTGTCGTGGCTATGGAAGAACTTAGCTTCTTATAATATAAGCGCATTGCTTCTCAGGAGCTTAGCTGTTCATTTAACATCGTCATCATCATGGCGGCAACCAGTAGATGCAAAATAGCCCGGATTCCAAATGAGCCCCCCTTCTCGTGGACGAGCAACTCATATGGACAAACGGACTTTAATGGGAGGCTTTATGTAACAATTTGGCGGCGGGACTTATCTGGTTACGTCTGGTCGTACATTAAACATACAAATTGACGACGCTGTGAGATATATCCGATACTTATGTACGCAATGGCCATGCGACCCAGTCTGTATGACCAAGTGTGTATTCGTACAAACTCAACGTGAAACTGCTCGTGGGCTTGACCCTCAATCTTGTGTAGCCGGCTGAATCCCCTGTTACGCACCCGCACAGTTGACTCCAACAAGACGAGAAAGAACAAAGATCGCGCCTATGATCTCACGCGCTTCCAAAATTTTGAAGCCTCAATCTTCCCAAACTCCGTTTTCTGTCGGTCTGAAAATCATCCCTTCAGAGACACGACTTGGAAATCATGAACACCCCAAGCCACACCAGTCATTTTACACTCGCCCGCCTCTCTCAAGCTGTGGCGGCACTCGAATTAGACTTGGCGACAGGTGAGGTTTTGGCGGTACCCGACAGGTCGGTAGGCTGCGCTTTCGGATTCTTGGTGTAGTAGTCGGCGATGGCAGCCTTGATGCCGTCTTCCGCAAGCATACTGCAGTGGAGTTTGACAGGCGGGAGCTTGAGCTCCTGCGCGATATGGGTGTTCTTCACTCGGCTGGCCTCCTCGAGGGTCATGCCCTTGACGAGCTCCGTCAGATAACTGCTGGACGCAATGGCGCTTCCGCAGCCAAATGTCTTGAACTTCACGTCGGAGATGGTGTTGGTCTTGGGGTCGACGCGGATGTTGATTCTTAACCATAGGTTAGCATCTGATAGAGTAGAAGGAAGAGTTCGAGCTTCTGTGGCGAGACGAAGGCAAAGGGCTTTGGACGCCAGGGGTTCAATCATACTTCATCACATCACCGCAAGCAGGTGCACCAACAAGCCCAGACCCAACATCATCGCCCTTCAAGGTGCCAACATTGCGCGCTGTTTTATTGTTAGCCACTTCTGCAGTCCGGCGATGTCTGATATCGACTCACGTCTTGAGTAATGGTCAAGCACTTTCTCGTGATATGATCTAGTCGCGCTCACGGAAACCGCCGGTAGGAGCTGCCGAGTAGCAACGGGCGATGGCCGCAAAGGTGTAGAGAGGACGGTGCGCGAAGCAGCGCGGATAGTTCTAGAAAGCATCGCAGATATTCGGTTCAGTAGTTCTGGGTTTGGCAGTTGTTCGTAGGTCGGTACAGATAAAGCTTGTCGTCGAACTCGTGAGTGTAGAGACGGAGACGTTGATAGAGGGTTGGTGGATGTAGGTTGGTGAGATATGATGATGGGAAGCTACGTAGACAGGGTAGTAGTCGAGGGAGGCGAAGAGAATAAAAAGATGGGGGTGTGATATCTCACTGACGGAGACGAGCGGCGATCTCGGTGATAGAAGCGGGTCCTTCAACCAATCGTCATCGTCCATTGCGGCTAGCGATTGTCAAAGTATGGTCGGTCTTCGGCATAAACAGTCACATGACCACCTTAATTCGGATGGATTGATAAGATAATCGGAGCATCAGATTCCCCGGGTGGCAACCGCTATAGAATAGGTGGGAAACGGGCCTATCATCGTAACGAGCTTTGAACGCAAAGAATCAGATATCTCAGTCGATTACGTACTGACATGCGGGGCAAACGTCACCGGCTCTAAGCTATTAGGTAAGTATTTTGGTACCTACCTTACTTCGTAGAGGCACAATAAGGCAGGTACCTTAGGTAGGTACCTGGCAATCTTACCTTAGTGCGTGCCCCGCCGTTGCCTTCAGCGTACCAACGGATACGATCGATACCTTGCCTTACCTAGAACTATCGTGATTGCGGTCTTCTCACGAGAACTTCACAACTGCATAGCCTGATACTTCCGTGTCGCAGTAACTTTTTGGATGATGGCATGCCCGCACCTCGAGTCTCTGAGTATTTCCTTCCCCGCTTGGATACCTGTTATTGCCATGGAAGTTGAAGCTGATATATAAACAGCTTTGCGCGTGCCGACGCCAACCCAGTCGGTCTATCGCGAGGATTGTACGCAATGTTTCGACTCGATCGATGATCCTTCCGGACTAGACGTCTGTATGCAGTGCTTCAACGGCGGTTGTGCGGGCGAACGAAACCATGCAAGCCTCCATCGAGCTCTCTGGAGCCACCCCCTCGTCCTCAATATTCGCCGATCACGTAAAGTTGTCGTCCGCGATGAACCGCCTCCGAAGATGTCCAAGCTCGCCATCGCTGCCGAAACGGAGCAGGATAGATATCATATTCGTACGTCCGTCAAGTGTCTCGACTGTGACAGCGAGCTTGACGGGACGAATGCAAAACTCGTCCCTGTCATCGACGGCATCCTGAAGGCGAATACATTCTCGCGAAAAGAAGAAGTCAAGGCCTGGGAGCAGGAGCTCACTAGCTGCGAGCATATCTTGACTCTGCAGCAGGCCGAGTCACGGAACGTTTCAAAGGGCGGCGATACTCACTGCTATAGTTGTGACCTGAAAGAAAACCTCTGGCTCTGCCTTGAATGCGGAAATTTCGGCTGTGGCAGGAAGCAGATGGGCGGCCTGGACGGCAACTCGCACGCTCTGGGTCATTCCACCGAGAGTGGTCACGGCGTCGCCGTGAAGCTGGGCTCAATCACACCAGAGGGGACAGCGGACGTCTACTGCTACAAGTGTGACGAGGAAAGAGTTGACGAAGATCTGGGCAAGCACCTGGCACATTGGGGCATCATTCTCGCCGAGCAGCAGAAGACGGAGAAGAGTTTGACGGAGATGCAGATCGAGCAGAATCTCAGATGGGAGTTCAGTATGACTACCGAAGATGGAAAAGAACTGAAGCCACTGTTCGGCCCGAGCCTGACTGGGTTGAAGAATCTTGGCAATAGCTGCTATTTAGCTAGCATCATTCAGTGCCTTTTCGACCTGCCGTCTTTCCGGGATCGGTATTTTCGGCCCAAGCTCGACCTGCCCGTAGTCGATGAGCCGGCAGCAGACCTGGAGACGCAGCTTCGCAAGATGGCCGACGGCTTGCTCTCCGGCCGTTACTCCAAGCCAGACTCGGATGTGATAGCATCTGAACACTCCCCCGAAATCCCGCATCAGAAAGGCCTGGCTCCCGCAATGCTAAAGCACCTCATCGGCCGCGGGCATGTTGAGTTCTCCACCATGCGTCAGCAGGATGCCTTTGAACTGCTTCAGCACTTGTTCAAACTCATCTCGCGATCCAATCATCCTTCCGGCCTCCAGGATCCCACCCACCCTTTTCGGTTTGTCCTGGAGCAGCGCCTACAGTGCCTTGCGTGCAGGAAGGTGCGATACACATCGAACGAGCAGGACAACATCTTCATAGACGTGCCGCTGGAAAAATTGCCAGCAACGGAAGGTCCGGAGAACAGCGGCGACCAATACAAGCCCGTTACGCTGAAGGAGTGTCTTGACAACTTCACCGCCGAAGAGGTGGTGGAACTAACTTGCTCAGCATGTGGAAGTAAAGACGGCTACACCAAACGCTCGTTATTCAAGACATTCCCTGAAGTCTTGGCCGTCAATGCGAGGAAGATGGCAGTGATCAACTGGGTGCCCGTCAAAATCGACGTTCCAGTTATTGTGCCGGACGAGCCGTTCGAATTGGACGCGTATCTTTCTGCCGGCATCCGACCTACCGAAGAAGCGCTGCCGGATGAACAGGAGGGCAGCGCCCCCGCCTTCGTGCCTAACCAAGAAGCGCTGGCGACTCTCGAGGCCATGGGGTTCCCTCGTAACCGATGCGAGAAGGCCTTGCACGCCACGGGGAACTCGGATGCCAACGCTGCCATGGAATGGCTATTCGGCCACATGGAGGATCCCGACATTGACGCCCCTCTCGACCTCACGGGTTCGGGAGGCGCTGGCTCGAGTGCCGCCGCGGCCGCCGACCCAGAGAAGATCGAGATGCTTGGTGCCATGGGCTTTGGTGCGCCCCAGGCAAAGAAGGCCCTGAAAGAGACCGGTGGCGATGTCGAGCGCGCCGTCGAGTGGCTGTTCAACCATCCCGACGACCAGGGCATTTTTGGAGACGAAGACGCCGGACCGGGTGCGGAAAGCTCATCCCAGCCGAAGGAAGCGGCTGGCAGTGCTTCCTTGCCTGCCCGATTCCAGTTACAGTCGATTGTCTGCCATAAGGGCACTAGCATCCATGCCGGGTACGTTTTCGACTCGAAAACGCCTCTCCCCGTCCCTTCCAGTAGACCAAGTCGCACTGACATTCCAATCTAGACACTACGTCGCCTTCATTCGTAAGGCTTTGCCAAACCAAGAGGGTGACGCAACATCATGGGTCTTGTTCAACGACGAAAAGGTGGTTCTGGCCGGCGACGTCGAAGAGATGCGCAAATTTGCGTATGTCTATTTCTTCAAGCGGTTTAAGCTTGAGTGGTTGTCAATGGGCGCCTGGACGCTTGAGGGTCGGGCGGACGATTAGAGATATCGGTTACCAGTCGCATGAACATGAGGCAAGGGATGGCGGACGACGAGGGAAAAGTGGCAGGCCAAGTGAACGTGATATGGTTGGAGGGGATGAAGGTCCGGCCTCAGATGTCTTATGATAAGATGAATAGATGCGGATGGGTTGCTACCAACTCGACAAGTTTGTTGTCGAGTGTCGAGGGCCGTTTTTGTCTCGTGTGTCCGACCCTCCGACCGTCCATTGTCCCTAATCTGCCGGGAGGTATATGGTACAGAGCCCCTGCCACCCACCAACGCCTTACGCCATGAAACCCCCTTCTTTAAATACCCGGGCCAGTCAGTCGGTGTCGCATGTGAAATGGTGGGGGTGCTCTTCTGTAGTGTAGAATGTACCCCAGCCAAGTGTAAGGTAGGACAAATCGAATCCTGTCCTGAGTCGTAAATGGGGGATCGTGTACAAATCCCACGCGCATATTCCGCACCCCGCTCCTTCAATCCGCCAACCGGTAGCTCACTAGCGTGTCGACGCGGTGATTGCTCGTGCTGAATCCGCGCAGCTGGACCCTCTCGCCATTGGCGATCTCCTTTGCATCGCTGTCACCCCATTCTACGGGCACGTCGCTGTCCGCGTCGGCGTAGACTAGTACGTTGAAGGTGCAATCGCCGGCCAGCTGGGGGAGGAAGGTAACGGATGCGGTGATTTGGCGGAAGAGCGCGGCGATTTCGTCCTGGATTTCCTTCTCGGTCTTCTCAGGTTCAGGGGTGGCGGAAGTGGCTCTGCAGAATCATGCGGTCCGTCAAAGTCAATGCACCGCCTCCTCCGGGGAGGTGGAGAGCTGGGGAGAGAGGGGCAAGAAAACATACCCAGGACCAGCATTCTCCTGGTCTGCGTCCCTGGTGGTGCTCTTCGATCTTGAAGGCTTGAGATTCCCTAGGACTTGGACCTGTCCGTATTTATGTTAGTCGTTCTATGAAGTCCCCCGGGAATAGTGCGACAGATTTGTACGGACGTCAAACTGCCATCTCTCCACGTTCTCTCCAGTGTCCTTGTCGGTGATGACGATGACTAGCCTGGAGATTTTCCCGTATTTCATCCACTTGTCCAGTTGGCTCATGATCTTTTTGATGTAGGCCTTGACCTGGTCATCGGCGGAGACTGCGCGGGAGCCGGTTCTTTGTCAGCTTCATGTTCGGGTGCAGGCATGATCATGCACGGGGATTGGTGGTGCGGTGCCGCCAGTCTTTGCAAGCTGTTGCACTGGATCTGGGCGGTCTGGGAGGCGGGAGCCGCGGCGGAACTAACCAAGCATGTTGAGGCCATATTTTTTGACACTTCCGGAGGAAAAAGGGCGGTCAGCTAGCTTGTCGGAATATATAATAGAGGCAAGACTGGGAGCTGGGCAGGGGAACATACGCGGTGAAGTCTTCAGCTGGGTAGACACCTCGCTGGAACCTACCACCGAGTTAGCCCCGATAGACGTCGTTTCAAGGGAGCTCTGAAGCATCGCACAGAATAGTATGGATGGAGTATTGGAACTGTCAAACGGGTAAAAACAAAAATGTAAGAATCACAGTCAGTCGCGTCTGTGTTCGCGGGATGCTTGGGATGTGTCTCTTGTTTTGTTTGTTGAGTCTCGACGTACAAACTCGGCGACGAGCTTGGCACTACCCCTGAGTGCAAGCTTGTGCACCTTGGAGCTATCCTTTTCCTTGCCTCCTTCTTTCGGGGCCATGTTGTCTATCGGGTCGGCTACAGAGCGGGTGCGCAGATAGAGTGCGAGGAAATTGGGATGTCAGGCGCTGGTGGGTTGTCTGTTCTGTTGCTTCGAGGGTGTATCCGTTAATAAGTTAAGGTACGTTTTGTACGTTGTACCTATTTACTTTGAGATGTGGAAGTGGGGAGAACTGATTGCGGGGTGGACGGTGGTTGTTGTGATGTGATAAGCACGCACAAGCCACATGAGGAGGTACATACAGCCAGATACAAGCCACGACCTAATTATCTGCAACGCCACCATACCTAGGTACAATAAGGTAAGGTACGTACAACGTTATTATCATCGCCCCTTTTTCTTTCCTCCTCCCAAAATAAACTCGTGCCGGGGTCGTTCCCCAAGCTCCCCTCGACACTTCCTTTGAAATCGGAACAGAAGGAGAGAATTAATTTCGGGATGGGCGCTGATTCTTTCAATCAGAGTGAAGGCTGCAGCAGCAATGTCGCAACATCAAAGCCTCTTCCGACCCCCCCCTCCAGGATGCAAAGCAGACAAAGGGGACAAAAGCCGCCGCATTGCTATTCAAAGCGCAAAGAATATGGCTACTCTTTATCACAGCCACCGTTAAGGCCGTTTCCGGTCCATTTGGTCGAGTCGAGGACTTGGCACTGGACGGTCAACAAAGAAGCATCTTTTGTCTCTCCATTGTCACTATATTCGGACCGGTCGATTAAGAAGCCCCTCAGTATCGCAAGGGAGTCAATGTCGAGTCTCGTTGGAACGTGCCCTGGCCTTCGCATGCATGTCTTTTGTTCAAGGTCTTGAGCCATCCAGGACGATAAAGACCGGATTGTGTAAATAGCGCCATATACCATCCGACGCGCTCGAATCTCATGTTTGACCAAACGTGCGAAAAATTATAGCAGTCTCTTTTTTGTGCCTGTAACGACATACAGTGATCGAGTAACAACTTTGAAACCCGAATAGCGTTCGCGGCGGTGCACCAACATGTGTCTCCGGGAAATACGAATCTTCCAGTGTCCCTCGCGGGCGGGACCCGTAAACGTACACACCGATAAGGTCAACGTCCTCTGTTCAGCACTGCAGCCGTGTCCGGCCCATCTCTGGGAGCGGTGCGAGATTTACTACAACTCCGCGTGCCCCGCATGCTCGGGGCGGTTGTCCTCCGTGCCGGCGGCCGAAATCCACGCATTTCGAATCAACTGGACGCCGAGAGACAACCAAGTCGCACTCGACAACGAATGGGTGAAGAACTACCTGAAGGACTGGGCTAGCTTCATGAACCTGGTTCTTCAATCTCTTATCGTCCTGAACACGGAAGACTTCCCGGGCTTCAAGAAGGAAGCACTATACCGACTCCGCGAATCACTATTACAGGAGCAGGCATGCAAGGAGCAAGCGCATCGTGTAGATGATTGCTTTTGCGACGCGAACCGATCGGAAACCAAGCAGTTCCTCTACAATCCTGCCTCGGGGGTCCGCAGCCGGGCGGCGCTGGAGGTTACGGATCGGATCATGCAGGCGATAGCGGCGATGGATGAGGAGCTGCGCCGCAACGGCGATCCACGCAGATCCGAAATAGTATCTCCGCTCATCAGTTCCCTGGCGAGAGAAAGCGACGAGTTTGAGTGCCGCCGAGACAACTTTCGCTTTTTCCGCCAGGGCCGCGGCCGGCATCGTCCTATATCGGCCGAGCAGCATGCCGCCCGCCTGGCCGCCATGCAAGAGCTGTGGAAACACGCACTGGAACGGTCCCACGCGGCCGAGAGGCCGCCGCCAGGGGACATGGCTCGTTGGATCCAGTGGCATGTTGTGAACGCCCGCCTCACGGCTCTGACGCTGATGGGGAACCTGATGATGGAGGACGTCGGTATCTCGGATGAGCGGCTGAGGCTCGCGTTCGAGCGTATGCTCACAGTCTTGCCCGCTCGCGCGCATCGGGGCCCCAGCGATGTACCGGAGCTCGAAGCACTGGCGACGAAGGTGACCCAGCGGTTCCGTGCCGGCCGGCTCATGTACCAGATGCAATGGCTCCGGCTCGTCACCCAGAACTGGCTTGGCGAGCGGAAGGAGGCGTGGGATTCGAGGGAAGCCACGTATCAGTGGTACGAGGCCATCTTCAACTACTGTACGGTGCCGCTCACGGGCCAGCAGCTGGAAGACTGCATCGCGAACGGCACCCGTGGGACGGGCGCGGCTTGCCCGGTGTGCTACGGCGATTATTTCGACGGAGCGCCGGATCAGTCACAGGCCCAGGCAAACCCGGGACGGCCGAGAACGGATTCGGATACCAGTTCAGGTCCCACAGCACATGTCCACACAGCACATGTCCAAAGCCCTGCTGCACCTGAAGGTCGTCAAGGCCATCCCGCTCTCTGGGAATTCTATGAGCCGGATGATCGATATGATGGGGGCGAGATACCGGTGAGAGTGCTTTCCTGCGGCCATGTGTTCGGAGCGAGGTGTCTGTTCCGGCTGTGGGTAGGCCTGTCGGAACGTAGCAGCTGGATCTGTCCTCTGTGCCGGACGACGGCTACAATTACCCAATGACGTATACTCGATTGAAGGACCGTGGGGAGAGGCGTTTGTTGGATGGGGTTCGAGTAGAACGTTGTTGTATGTACAATAGGTACGGATAGCGGGAACAGCTCAGCCTGTTGGGGGTCCGTTTCTCGGGCTTTGCAGGATAGGTACCTACCTTAGATAATTAGGTTGCATCGTTTTTTGTATCAGGTTTTTTTTTTTGGTCCAGAATACCTACTCGCATGAAAGGTGGCATGAAAAGTGATACCAACGATGGGCTGTAACAATGAGGTACCGGTACTCCGCAAATTCACGCAGACCCGTGTGTACGGACACAGGACTGCGTATTATTAAGTACCTAAGTAACTACCTAATTACTTTCGTACCATGTACATCAGTCCGTTGCGTGCATAAGGTAGGTAGGCACGAATGCCTTGTGAGACATGTGGCTGAATGTGGCTCTCACTGGTAGCTCTTGATTGCTACGCCCACCAATCAAAAGGCCTCATCCTCGGCAAGCACGGAAATCGCTTACCTGTAGACCGCAATCCTATCAGATCTTAATCTTATTTATTAACCGCGTGTTCTGACGTCCCCTGACATACATAGGGCCGCGGCCTCATTCCGCTCTCCGGTTTCTCGTCATCGTTCAACGCCCGTTTCCAACATGTTTCGCTTCCTCCCGTTGCGGTGTCCTTACTTATGGAGTTCCGTACAGAGCCACTATCTTACACATAACTTCCTTTTATTATGGTCTTTCTTTTCATGTTTGCTTTGTAGACGCACGTGGTCCTGGAACATTGGACTTGTCCATGAATTGTTCCAGGTTTCCAGCCATATAGGATTATAAACCCTTCCTCCAGAGGCTTTTCTCGTAAGAGCCCAGCTCGATCCGGCTTTGAGGCGAATCTCGTCTCGAACAAGACAACAAAAAAAAAAAAAAAAAAAAAAAAAAGAAGAAGAAGAAAAATGGAAAATGGAAAATAGAAGAAGAGAAAATGAAAGGATAAAAGCCACCTCTGCTACTTGCTCATACCTCTTTTAATGGGTCCTGGCGGGAACTGGAGCCGCTCCTGTACACTTACGATTAGGGCGTTGGCCATGCGGACACGGGAGCTGGTTTCGGCTCTATTCCGCACCTTCGCCAACACAACGCTTCAGACGCCTTGGCTTTATAATGTATAACGAGACGCAGTCCCAAATGAACCGACCAAGCATCTCTTCTGAGAAATGATCGTCCACGCTTGCCGTCTTTACCTGCCGTTGATGCCAGTTTCTGACCTTCTCTCGTCACTTTTTTCCTTTCTCACACGCGCCGAGCAAAGCTTTTTTTTTTTTCTCTTTCTTTTTTTCTTCTTTTTTCTTCTTCTCCTTACCTGTACCTGCGCCCCACCGCAGAGCGAAGCGAGGAACAAGTGCCGCAGGCGGTCTGCTCCAGGTCTATTCCGTACATATGGATACGGGGTAATATGGAGCACGAGGACTTCGTAAGTGCATTGCGCTCTCGACGAAACGCCCGCCGCCATCCGCCATGTCCAGAGCCTTTTATCCACCCCCCTTCCCTTCTTCAGGAAACGAGTGAAGTCGCCTATTGGCCTTGCCCCCCTCCCCCTGAACTTTCCCTCTGTACATCATGTTCGTTTTCGCTTGCTACTCGGTTGCTTGCCCTTCTAAGTGGCTGGAGCCAGTGTGATACCCGATCACGGTTAGATAGTCCCAAGAAATTAATCATCATCTCTTCGGACATCGCAGCCTCGGCACACCGAGCCGTTCATAGACGTCCTTTTTCCAAATGCCTAATACCTACCTATTCCGTCTCCGTCCTATGCACCTTGCCTTGAATTGACGCCTCTTAACCATCACATTGCTTTCCCTCTCCCGGGACACCTCCGCCAACTTGGCTCGCCCTTCTTATCCTCTAGCAAGTCCGGCCACCTGCAACTGTCGGCGAGGTTTGAAAATTGGAAATCGTTGATCCGGCACTTTTGATATCTCTCTTTTCACGGAATACCCCTTTGGGAATATTTTAACGGCCACCACACCGTACGCTTTTTTTTTTTTTTTTTTTTTTTTTTTTTTTTTTTTTTTTTCCCGGCTGGGGGGGGGAAGGGACGGGCGTCTTGGTAGAGATATCTCTTACGGGCCTTCCTCGAGGACCTTCCGAGCCTTTTCTATTCTCTTCCATCTATCTCTTCTGCGCAGCCAGACCCGAGGACATGAAATATTTTACTCGCCCCGTGGCATAAATTTCGGCCCTGCGTGTTAGTAACACCAAGTACGCGGAGGAGTATGGACCGCTACGATGCCTTCCCCTCGTGAATCTACTCGGCGCGTCGGCGCAACAATACTTCGCACTCCTTCGCACGAAGCTGCTGATCGCGATGAGTTCGTGCGAAACATGACCACGGCCGCTTACAAAGACTGGCCGAACAAGGCCGGGGTGAGTCCCGATCGCCGATCCCCGCCCTCCCCCCAGCGTGTGCCTCCAGTTCTCTCTCTCTTTCGTGGGAACCTCTCACATCGAGCCGTCTCTGACGAAAAGACCCTTTCTAGTTTGATGGCCTCACAGAGGAGCGCGGCCCTATACAGCTGACTATCAGAGGGAATATTCCGGCCTGGGCAGCTGGCTCCCTCTATCGGACTGGCCCCGGTGCATGCAAGGTGGAGGGCACCCCAAGGGGAACAGAATACGTCTCGCACTGGTTCGATGGCTTCGCCCACACGCATAGGTTCGACATCCTTCCTCCGGAAGAGGGGACAGACGGTCCAGCGCGAGTTCTCTATTCGTCCCGGCGGCAGGCGGAGCGGCTTGTTGAGGATATTCGAGCACGCGGAATGGGTAGCCACTACTCCTTCGGTCAGCGCCGCGATCCTTGTCTGGGCCTGTTTTCCAAGTTCATGAGCGTCTTCCGAAGATCCCCTCCAGACCTGCACAACGTCTCGGTCATGGTCGACACCAACTGGCCAGGGTTTCCGGCCAGAACCAGAGCCATCAAGGAAGAAGCAAAAGTCACAACTGGTGGCCATCGCAGCGGAATACAAAATGTGTGGTTGACGACCGACGCGGCGCAGTTGGTCGAAATCGACAGTGACACCCTCGAACCCATTGGTGCGGCGAGGCAAACGGCGCTCCATCCGGACCTCAAGGGGCCTCTTTCATCCGCACATGCCCAGCGCGATCATGAGACAGGAGACGCATACAACTTTAATCTAGAACTCGGAAAGACTTCCACATACCGGATTTTCCGGGTCAACGCAGCCACAGGAACCACGGACATTCTTGCCACCGTTTCCGACCTTGTGCGGCCTAGCTATATCCACAGTTTCTTTCTCACCCCCAGCTTCGTCGTCCTGTGTATCCCCGTGTCGCATTATGTGCTCAACGGCCTCACGATGCCATGGGAACGGAACATCATGAGCTCGATTGAAGAGTTCGACGAGACCAAGCCTTGCAAATGGCTCGTTGTCGACCGTCGCGGAAACAACGGTCTAGTCGCGGTATTTGAAACGCCCGCCGGCTTTTTCTTCCACTCGGTCAACTCCTTCGAGGAGGCTACGGAAGACGGAACTGAAGTGTTCTGCGACTTCATGGAGTATCCTAACCAGGACATTTTGAAGACCTTCTACTACGACGTCCTCCTCGACCGGGACGGCGCAACCGGCGCGTTCTGGAACGAGAAAAACAGGATCCAGACGATCCAGTCCCGCCTAGCCCGGTACCGGTTCCGAATCCCGTCTCCCAAATCGGGCGGCGGACCAGGTGGGCCTCACAAGGGCCGCGGCGTGCTCGTCTGGGCCATCCCGTCCCCCCATGCCGGCGAGCTACCGGTCGTCAACCCGGCCTACCATTGCCGACGGTATCGCTACGTCTACAGCGCGGCGAACCGCGGCCGCAGCACGCTCCTCGACAGCATCGTCAAGACGGACACGGTGACGCGCGAGGCGCTGATCTGGAGCGGGCCCCGGGGCCATACGCCGGGGGAACCTATTTTCGTGGCGCGGCCGGCGAAGGGGGGAGACGAGGAGGTTGCAGAGGATGACGGCGTCCTTCTCAGCGTGGTGCTTGACGGGAGCGCGCAGCGGAGTTATCTTCTCTGTCTGGATGCAAAGACTCTCGAAGAGCTGGGTCGTGCTGAATGTTCTTTCGCTGTACCTTTCGGGTTTCATGGCGTTCATGCGCCGGGTAGCATGTAATGAGGGATGCAATGACTTTGTTTTATTTTTCTTCTCCTTTTTTATTTATTGTCATTTTATTTCTGGCGCAGGCATGGATAGGGTAGGGTTGGTGACGAGATGCCTATGGTCTAGGCTCGAGTGGGGATTTCCAAGCAGGAATCGAACTTTCGTGCGACTACTTTGTTGCTCGTGGTGATGGCATTCATGGACCTCTCTCATTGTTAAGAACACTGGGAGATGTTCCGTAATCACTGGTTAATGCCACCACCCCCGACTGTCATTGCGCCTTTTTCAATGTCTTCGACTCTCTGGATGACAAATTTGAACGTCCAAACAGACATACAGGATTATATAATCACCTACCTAATTCAGCCCCGTACATATCACAGGCTACACAGCAGCAGCAGTACAAAGCATTACGGATATGTGTTTCAAGTCCGTCCTGGACTGAGGCCCGTAGCTGTACCTCCATCCAGGTACCGCCAAGGAAGCCGTTCTTGCCGGTAGGCTCTGTGATTGCCCCTGGGTATGTCGTTTCTCTTACGCTATAATTCAGTTTCCCCTCCTTTCCAAGTAACGTATCGGAGAAATACCTCCTGGTTGGAGTCGGCATAGGAAGACAAGAAGCATGTGAGGGTTCCCCGGATGCCCGGATGGACGGCAGATCCATCTCGGAGCATTCTGTTCTTGCCCATGCAGTTGTGTTTACCCCGCAACATTAACCCTGTCTCGGGGAGGCAGCCCATGCAGAGGGGTGACACCGGGAGTTTTCCACGATCTTTTTTATTCCGACCTGGTGCGTGGACATAACGTGGAGGGAGTGTAACTGCAACGACAACCATCTTCTGTATGGTGGGGGTTATGCGGGGGTCTTTCACAAGGGGGTGGAGAGGTGGGGGTGGGGTAAAGGAGGGGTACGGGTACGTACGTTGTACGGATATTTTGGACATGGATTGAAACTAACCCCAAGCTCCCCTAACCCGGGCTGGATCGAGCTAGCTAAGGTATAAATCATCAAGCAATAGTACGTCGTTATACGGTGTAGGTAGTGCGGAGAAATGGGGAGCTATGCATTCTCCTTTCTTCGGTGCGAGCGAACCTGTAATTAATGTGAGCATCCTGGTATTCTGTACCTTGCCCGTGGGTAGGACAGCAGGACTCGGAGGACGTGGACATTTCTTTCTATTTTGTTGTATGCGAAGAGTAGACGAGACCCGTGATTCAGTCTGGGGAGGGCAGTCTGTTAGTTTGGGACTCTCGATTGTAACCATTATTTTTCGCCTCTCCAGCTCCGTTCTATCGTCGCACTGCTGTTTTCGACAAGGTTGATGACAAGAGATCTATTGCTACAGCAACATTGGGAACATTTGGCAAACATTCTGGAGGCACGGGTATGTCAGGGCCCCGGTGGGCTACGGGTCGGGCATTGAGATTGACGAGGAACTGGTCCAGAGGATCTCTAAGGAGAAGGAACCGTGGAAATGTAAGACATTCCACAGTCCTGATGACAGTGCCAGAGAGTGGTGAAGAAATGAGTTCTTTGTAAAATCATGATAATTTCCAAGGGCATTATGATCACTGCCCCTACTCGGCCCAGTAAGGAGAAGAGCGTCTGCAGGAAGAAAGACATGTCGGTATCTTTCTCTCTTTTCTTGGGTGGGTGGGTTCTGTTCCTTTATTCGGCACCTTTTGTATCCCTTTTCCACTGCAAGGATAATCACCCCATATGAGTGAAGTCCTGGGTGAGACTAATCACTTTTCATGCTCACATGACACCACATCAACAGTCAACCCCCACGTTCGTCAAACCTTGCCTCGGCGTCAGATTGACACTCAGTCTGTTCTGTTGTTGCACATGGGAAGCTATCCAGGACTTGATTCTATATGATCTCTCGATATGTCGGACAAGGCAAAGCGGAGGCGTGGTGATTGAAAACCCACCGGAGAGTTCCCATCTCTGCAGGATCAACCCACGCTGGCAGCGAAGGTTTTTCCAAGATGTGTTCCCATGACGTGATGGCTTTCACAGAGTACCCATTGCCTACTTCGTGTTATTGGAGTAGGTATACCTGAGATGCCTAGCTCTCCTATTACCGTACGTGTAGTGTAGAAAGGTAGAATACATGACAGGACTCACAGGAGCCCAAACTCCGGGAAACCGATCGCACAAAGTACACGATGTGAACCCCACCCAGAAATCTACGAAGTACAAATAAGTACTTCGTACCTTAGGTACAACGTAAGATCTGAGACTGGCCAACGGCATCCCTGTTCAGTGCCCAAAACGGGGCGGTCCCACTTATTTTGGGTCTTATGGGGGGGTAACTCGAAGGCTTACTTACCACTGGTGGATTTTTGGATCCGTCGGTTCGTTCGCTTTCCACAGCGCTGGTCGTGGGTTGCCAGCCACAAAGGTCCAAGTTCCAGGTAGTGCCAAAGTGGGGGGAAGAACGTCGTGTTGGCCCACTTACCCCACCATCACCATCGACGAGTTCAGTAACAAAGCTCATGAGCTACCTACGTAGCTGAGAGGTTAGGGTAGGTAGATGGGGGTATCTAGGAATGCGGTGAATTCGACACACGGGGGCTTAATTTCCATCACGTGGATAACAAAGGTACCATGACTAGCGACGAAGAGATGTCACGAGAGTCTTGTCGGCACGGTACTCAAATCAGCCAGCTTCTAGACCTATGATGACAAGGACAGCCCCTTTGGTTTCCGTCGTCCACGAGGAATGCTAGTCTACAAAGTTGTGGACGCTTTCTCTGGGAAGATTACTGTGCGTAGGAAGTGAGGGTTTGAGGTTGTGTCCTGACCCCTGTCCTTTGGGCTCATCAAGTTACTCGAAGGGCACGCGTGCTCTCACAGTGGGGAAGAGTATTTTGATAGCAGCAGTTGGGTTGAGCGAAGATTCAAAATGCGAGCTAATGAAGAGGAAGAGTAGAATTGTAAGGTAGCTATCTCTGAAAGGTGAATTGAAGGCTTCGCGCAGCAGCTCCCGTCACAGCGAGGTCTTTGATCATGCATACCGTCAGGCCAGTCTTCGTAAAAGGAACAGCTCACTGCCGCCCATCTCCCTGAAAGATGCGCGCCTCCGCCTTCAGAAGTCGAGGGAATATCCCATCGACTGGATAGGATTCATGTATCGTAGCAAGGATGCTTTCAATACATGTGGGTATGTCATTTCGCATTCTATTCTCACCCTTCTCACCCTCCAGAGTTTTTTGTCATTGCTATGATTGCAGTTTCTCTAGTGCCCTCTCAGTCTCCACCAGCTCAGCAAATCCATCCAATTGCTCCTTCAACTTGTCCCCCTCGAGAAGGGCGCACGGCTTCCTGGGTTCGCCACCGTAGCCGTAAAACTCAGCCAAAGCGGCCTTCACGGAGACGAAGCCCCCTTGGATGGCGGTCCAGTCGCCGCGCGCGACGACGGCCTGCAGTTCGCGGGCTTCGGCGAGCTTGCCCTGCTCCCACAACTCCACGAGACGAATGCAAGCGCGCGGGGCAATGTTGGCGGTGCCGCCGATGATGCCGTGGCCGCCGACGACGAGGGTCTGCAGGGTGAAGTCGACGCTGCCGCCGAAGGTGCGGAAGGGTTGTTGAGCGGTCGTGGCGGTGGCACGGTCCGCGCGGATGGACGGGGTCGTCTTCTTGGACGATGCTGTCGGGCAAGGAGTGGCCGTTGCGGCCGCGATACGGGCGAGCTTGCCCGTGTTACCGCATGTCAGCTTGACACCGACGACGTTCGGGTGGTTAGAGAGGGCTATGATAACATCGGAGGAGAGGTCGAGGCCGCTACAGGCGCCCGGGAAGTTATAGACGAGGACTGGTATCGGGCTGGCATCCGCAACGGCGCGGAAGTGCCGAATGATGAGTTCGGTGGAGAGGAGGTTGCCGTAATAGGCTGGAGGTAGCACCAGAGTGTAGTTGCCGCCTGAGGCGGCGGCCTCTTCACAGAGTTGAATGGCCTCCCGGGTGGACTGGGCACCGCAGCCGACGATGAGAGGGATATGAGAGTTCCCTGCGGCATCGAGGGCGTCTCGGGTGATGCGGTTGATGAGTTGGCGCTCGGCGTGGTCGAGATGTACCGCCTCGCCGTTGGAGCCGTGTGTGACGAGACCGGCCACGCCTGACCGAGCTAGCCGGGTCGCGTGGGAAGCGGTAGTCTCGACGTCAATGGAGTCGTCAGAGCGAAAGAAGGCGACGGTGGGTACATATATTCCAGGTGTCAGGGGCCGTGAAGCGGTGGGCTGTGCCGACGTCGGTGTAAGGGTCGAATGGCCGTCCAGAAAGGGCGGAGCTGGGTTGCTACCAGTAGCTGAGGGAGACATGACGATGGAATGGAATTGATTGAAGCAAGAAGAATCCTGTCGGCGTTTTGTATTGATAATATGGATAGTTATTTTGCTAGAATGAGGCGGCTAGTGTATTGAGGGAGTTGTAGGAATTATAAGGAGCAGCTGGAGGTCTTTTTGGGTCGGCGTTCTTTCAAACCCTTTCCATTCACCATGGAGAGGGCGTTCCTGACAAAGAGTTGAACTATCCTCTAGGTACGCTGTGACGTGGCTGTACCGCGGGGCGCCATAAACCTTGAGGGCCTTGAAGAGTAAGGTAAAGTAATATCTAGTAAGTCATAACCCAAGTCGAGACCGGGGATATTGGCGAGATATATGACGGAACGGCTCGGGAAGTATTATCAGAGATGGTTGATCATCGGGACAGCCCCGTCATGTCGTGCCACTGGCTCTTAACATAGCCCCTGCTAATTTGTCCATAATTGACCACGCTGCTTTAATCAACGGACCTTGGTAACCTAGGGAGAGGGGAAGGGGAAGGGAAAGGGCAAGAGAAAAGAGAAAGAGAAAGCAAAAACAGAATAGCTAAAATACAAGGGCGGGGCGTTGTTGGTCTTAGGGCAAAGAAGAGGCGCCTAGCGAGTTGACTGCTCCCCAAACTCCAAACGGATCATCCCCCACGCAAGATCATGGTTTGGGTCCAAGGACAGGAATCGAAGCTAAGAAGAGTCAGCAATGCCATCGCCCCAACCAAAAATGGTAAATGAGTTTGCTAGTAGCTGTTCACGAACATGCTAGTTCCCCAGGCCAAGACTTTTAGGTGCAGTGAACTACCTAGGCATGATGGATCTGTGAAGTTGGAGATCGAGAGCCGAAGGCGGCTCCGTACGTTGTATGGCGATGGGACGTTCCATTGCACCCCCACGCAATCAAGCCCGCAATCGGAAGACGGGGGAGGGGGAGTGGGGTGGAGTGGGGTGCAGCGCGACGTTGTACTTAATTAATTACACTGTACCTCAGCACGGATATGTACGAAGTACCTTAATTACCGGTGAATGCTCCTCGGGCAAATCACACGAGGAACGGAGTATGAAAGCGTATTCGTCCTTTGTACATTGCATCTCTAGTGCCAATGCTTCTCCGGGGACAGGAACGGGGTATTGATCTTTCTTAGGTACCTATATGAAAGGCCTCGAACCTATCGGTACAGTACCTTACCTACCTTACATTGTAGATATTGACGTACAGGTATGTATATTCGGCGGTGTCTCATGACACCTCTGTACCTTAGTAATCATGGCAGGGAAGAGCCGGACCTACAAATGAACCACGATCCCCACAATTCGGGTTAATTCGTAATTGCTTCGCATCTATTTCTGTACCCTGCCATTGGATTGATTGATCCGTGTCTGTGTCCCGGCATCCCACCCAGCCCCTCTCTATTTCCGTCGGTCGTGACCTGGCGGGAACCCTTGGCCTCCTATCAATCTATGCGACTCTCCCCTCGAGAATGAGGGAGCGCCGGCTGATGGAGATAACGAAAAGGTGGCATCCCTGACGGCCCCCAGTGGCCCTAGGACCAGCTGGGGGCTGCAGGTGGCCGGATTCGGTCAATGTTTAGCTGCAGTTTACAAGTCTCGCCTTTTCTATTCTCCAGTTCTCCAGCTTTCGGTCCCAATTTCACTCGCCAGAGGAGAAAGAAAGGTGAAGACTCTGAAGGGTGATCGGGCCTTTCTCGCTTATTATCCTTGACTGACGAGGTCTTGCTAGGTCATAATTACGGATGATCTCCCAAGAACCGAGCAATCATTGACCTATGTGCGAAGAAATACGAAGGACTTCGTAGGTATCAGGGCATACGTTGTAGGTATGCATGCATACCTACCTATGCATGGGGGGCACACACACCGATGGCGATTGGACGACGAGGACCAAAGACCCAACGTGAAAAATCGAAAAATCAAAAAGACGAAATGCCGAGACAATATTGCATGGGCAATGCCGGAGCGGTGACGGCTGAGCTGACTTGTGAAGAGACAAGAGACAGACAGACAGCTGAGTATGTGCTCCAGACAGCTACGAAGGGGTTTCTTTCTTTTTCAAGAAGGGAGCAATCCATCTTCTGAGGGCACCAGATCCTTATCAGCGCACTGGCTTCAGACAATTCCCGCAACGCCCGTCCATCCCACTCCGCGACCTACACTAGACTTGGGGCTTTTTCTTGCTTTTCTGCGGGCTGATCCGGACCTCCCTCGGGTGGTTTCTCCGGTCCTGTCTCGTGGGGTTGTAGCAATTCCCCAGACCCAATCCACGCCGGAGACCTGGACCCGGGTCCCCGGACCACGATGTCATGTTCTAGGATCCTCCCCAAGCCAGGTTGCCCCCCCTCTCTTCTTTCTTTCTTTCTTTCTTCCCGGTCACCTAATGATATCAACTCGTACCAGCTTCCATATCCCCGGCATCTGGACCAATCGATGTCTTTAGGGCGCATTCCCCAGCTGCTAAATCAACGACGCTAAATCCCGTGCTACTTACGTAAGGATCAACCAAGTGGGAGTGCGCCGAGGTCTTTTTTTCCCTCCTTTGTTTCCGATGGTTTCCCGACCTTCGATGCGGTGACGCCTGATTCTAAGTATCGTTGTGCGCCCCCCCCTTGCTTGCCCTTTCTTTCCCTGTTCTGTTCACTCCTTGGATTCTCTGTGCCTAGAACGCCATAATATTCTACTCTTCTTTTAACACATCCGTTCCTTATTCCCTTTCCCCCCTCGTCAAATGTCGTGCATACATGGTCTGTCCTGGCCGCTACTGCCTGTCGTTGGAGCCTCATAGCGGAACTTTTATGCGTGTCGATCAAACCGGCTCTCGCTACCCTCTCCTCTTCACTCTTTCGTTTGGATCGGATCATCGGCCTCGTCTCGCATTCCCCTTACGGTCCATGGAGCATCACGTCGCCGACATGACGCTGGAGCTCCTGACCGGCCACAATCGACGGGCAAATTCGAGAGACCGGCAACGGCGTTCGGAGTCGTCTACCCCGTCATGGACACTATCGAATTCCGCCTCCTCGCACTCGGGCCCTACCGGCAACACTACCGAAGACCCATTTCCAACCGTGTCGATGTCATTTAACGGGGGCGACGATCGTACACTATTTCACCATGGCTACGGCCAACAAAACACTGACTCGGGGCTAGCCCCGGGCCCTGGGTCCGATGACGGACGTACCGACATACGCACCTCATTCGACAGCGCGCCTTCAGCCGTATCGCTCGGCCATTCACATGGATCCGCACACATCTCTCTCCACAGAGTTCCCGAGACCGAAACCCTAAGGAGGTTGACAGCCATGCCTATCCGACGAACATGGAAGTGCCGGCCCGATAAAGAAGAGGTGGACCTGTCCGAAGACAGCGGGGTGGAGGCCATCATGGTATACGAACGAGGCAAGGTGCAGAGGGGGCCACAGCAGTGTCCGCGCTGCCGACGAGGCCAAGGCGTCTCCCCCGAGTGCGTCAAGATCAGCGACATCCGCGACGGCACTTGCAGCAACTGCCTGGCCGCGCGGGCGCTGAGTCTCGCACGCGCACGCGCACGCGCACGAGCTGGCGCGGGAATGGGGGGCCCAGGTGGTGCCGCCGCGGCCTCCGCGAGCACGAATCCGAGCCAGCACCACCGGAGCTACTCGCCCGAGAAGCAACACCTCCTTTCGCAGTCGGCCGCCATGTCGCCGTCGGTACCGCAAGAGGACCTGGTCGCAGTGTGGAACGTCATCGTCGGCGTCCTCTCGAGACAGCCCCGCGACCTGGACTACTGCGCCTGCTTCACCGACGACGACGACGACGAGGACGACGAGACCCTGACGCCGGCGCGACGGATTGAAGATGCCGCGCTGTTGGTGGCGCGGTCGGCGGACGAGTGGGGGCATCTCATCGAGGAACAGGAGGACAGGGAGGGCCACGCCCCTTCCACAGCATCGGCATCTTCATCCTCGTCATCGCGCCGGGCGTGGAGGACCGAGTCTGAGAAAGCCAAGCTGATGAGGCAGGCTGTTCGGATACGAGAGACGGCCTTGCGCATCGCTACCTGCGCGAGGACTTGGAGGGAGAAGCAAAAGCCGACGTGAAGGAACAGTTGCATTTACGAGAAAGCGAGCGTTCATCCCCATGATACGAAGTACATGAAGTACACGCGGGGCTTGATGGTCGATGACGGCGGGACAGAGTGAGGGCCCCACCTGCCGACTTGTTTCTGGGAAGCAAAGGACGGAAGAGTTGAAGCTACTTAGCATACACAACGCTCCGTTTCTTAGAGTCTCGGGGTGTGATGAGGTGGGCCCCAGGGGTCATTGTTATTTCGGGTTGGTTTCTTAACGATTCTCCCCAGTTCAGGCAACTATTCGGTCATCTATGAAGACATGAAAGCGAGTCGGCTTGGTTATGGCGTCGAGGTGGCCACACTACGGTACTACCACCATATCTCTACCTACCGTATGCTTGTCATGGGCTACATGGTTACTGCCCCCAACTACCTCGGGCGTTTCTAAGCAATTTGTAAGGTATCGGCACTGGTCCACTGCTCGATTTTGTATGATCTTTAAAAGAGTTGATTTAAGAAAAGTTGATAATTCAACACTGAATCCCGTACAGAGGGAACAGTTCCTTGGCACTTATTGAAGCTGGCTAATGATCCCCGCAGCCGCGTCACCGAGTGTCCCATTGAAAGAGTCTATTTAAAGATTCCCAGGTGATTACACGGACTGAGGGGGCTACTGGATGTCTCAAGTGGGAAATATAATGGCAGAGGAAACAGGAGAGGTGGGAACCCAAACTGAGGCCCTCCACTGCTGCAGTCGTGCAGATACTTACACGAAGATTGCGCACGGAGAACGAGAGCTACCTTGCTTGTGGGTGATAACTAGGTGTAGGTGGGGAAACACGACACCCCACCCAAGCAACTGGGGCCTGTCCCCCTCTTTTCCCCACCTTCCCCTCCTTCCCCTCCTTTGCCTAATATTTCTCCCTCTCCCCTCTCCCCGCCTTTTTACACCCCGCAAATTCTTGAACCCACTTTTGAACGACGTTGAATTTTTGAAGTAGCAGATATTATGGATAACTACCTTAGTTATTCTACAATGAATTAAGTTGACCTTGGGTTCGTCCCCAAGGCCACGTCTTCTGTATTGTGTCTCACGGCTAGAATATACCAGAACTGGCATCGATTATATGGTGATCAGCAAACTGTGCGATCCCAAACCTCCACCAGATCTTCAACACCTCGAGGACCGATGCCTGGATAGATAATCCACTAGCTCGCGAACAGCCACTGACATCGTTGGTGAATCTATGATTTGTTAAAATATTTACGAGTGGCTGCAAACAGAGAACAACTACCTGATACGCTGTACACTACACAAACATCTACGCAAAGGAAGAACTGCGCGCCAAATATTTCCCCCATAATGCCCTTATCTTGCCTGATACTGTCCGAAATCCTGAATGGCGGCCTATAACGTCGTAATCTTTTCAGTCGCTTGCAACCAGGAGATCCACGGGTTTTGGGTCACCCAATATGCGAATGGTCCAGCTTACCACGGTTCCCACGGAAGGTGTCTATCCATGGTCCAACTATGAGCCTGTCAAAGAAAATGGCGTCGGCAACGAGGAGCCATTTAGGATGACGTTGCCCCGCGTTACCATCATCTCTTGCGTGGTATGTGACAACGACCCGCGAGGTCAAGATACAGACGAACTTAGGCCATCCGGCGTGTGGTATAGACATGGACGGGCGGAATCCAACGTGCTTACAGACTCCACTTGGACACGGGGGTTATTCCGACCGCCCTCGTCTAGAAGCATTGGCGAAAACCCCGGACAGTTTGAACGGTCTGTGTTCAGGGAGTAAAAGACCCCATCCTGATTCCCGCCCCTGAGTGGGGGAAACCAAACCACCTCCGAGACCACCATCACCACCGGAGATGGCCAATGCTGAAAGAGGACAACATACCTCTACTTTAAAGGTTACGAGGGATACGAAGACGAAAAAAAAAAAAAAAAAAGAGGCGCGTGCTATGATGTAGAATGACGCTGGTTTGGCTGTGGCCGCTATGATTTGATAAGGGGTTTGATCGCCATCCCGGATTTAGACCAATACCAACCCCGGAGCAGATACCCTGGACGAAGAAAGGAGATAGGTACTCGGCATTCTCCAGATTTGCAAGGAACATATTACGTACGGACATCATTGTCACGAAATGACAACAAGGAAGAAGGGCGGGGAAATAGGGACTGTTAGAGGTAAGGTTGGTGGTGTTGATGTTGGCAGTGTTGGCACGACGAGAAGAGCCGGAAAAAGGAAACGATCGGGGTGACTGCGGCGCCCCAGATTCTCCTACCCAGGTCATTCAACAACCTCGGCTGATTTCCCGAGCATAGGTATTCATGCCTCGTCCTGTTAAGGTGTTTTCCCATCTCGTCAACAAAGTTCCCTGTTAAAAGTTTCATTTTCGAAAGCCAGTCCGGACCCCCACGTAAGGTCAACCCCCCCACCTTTAGACGCTAACTTCATTGTCCCATGGGGCAGAAACCCCCCACAGCATCCCCAGGTTTTCCTCTGCCGGGCCCGGTCAAGTCGGGAGTTGCGGTTGTCCTTACACTGGACTGGGTTCTTGGCTCCAGCTTCGAGCTTGAGATTTGAGCTCTCAGGGCTGGGCTGTCAGGCTCGAGCCACCAAACTGGACTCTTACTTGGCCTTTCTTGCTATTCCTCTAGGTTTTGATCTTGTCTGAGCTCCATCAGGGAATTCTTCCCCCCACCACCGCCGTAACCTAGAACACCTCATCGCTGTATCCTAGCTGCTTGGGCCGTAAACATGGTCAAGGCTGAGCGAGAAAGCCAGGAGAAATGATCTTCTTACATGGGGGGCAAACTACCAACGATACAAAGTGTGCGAGATCGTCATGGTCGTCGATCTTTCTAACACAGGCCCAACTCGTCGACTTACCTGCTAATCGGCTTACCTTCTTAATCTTACGACCTCGCTCTTCCCCGGCTTTTGGGTCTTCTCTGCTCTCCTCTCTTGTCGCCTTTCATTCTTGCTTTAACCACGGTCTGCTCCCCCAGAGAACAGACGGACGACCACCTGCCATTCAGTTCTTCCTCTCGCCACTTCCACCATGTCTGGGATTTCCAAGACCGAAGATTCGGCCTCCCAGCACCACACCGACGAGGCCGATGTCGAGATGACGAAGAATTCGCCTGTCCAGGGGAAGGGCGGCGACCTTGCAGCCAGGCTCATTGGCGACCAGCAGATTGAGCTCACAGAAGAAGATGTACGCATATTCTCCCCATTTTCCTTTTTTCCCTTTTTTTCTTCCTTTTTTCTTGGTTTTTTTTTGTTTCCAACTCTTATTATCCTGGCCCTGGAGAAATTCACTTGCTGAACGAGCCGCTTACCGAATATCAGAATAAACGCATTCGCCGCAAGACGGACAAGCATATCCTCTCGGTGCTCGTTTGGGTCTACTTCCTCCAGAGTAAGCGAAGCGATTGCTAAGCCGTGCTATCATTTTGAGTGCCCGGAACGCTAACGCTCCAGAAAAGTTTTGGATAAATCAGTGCTTGGATATGGCGCCGTCTGGGGTCTGCGCGAGGACTGTAACCTGAGCGGCAACGAGTATTCCAAGGTCAGCTCCATCTCGGCCATCGCCCAGCTCGTCTGGCTGCCCTTCGCCTCGTGGCTCATGGTCAAGGTGCCGCACCGCATCCTCATGCCGGCGCTCGTGCTGGGGTGGGGCACGGCGCAGACATGCATGGCCGCCTGCAACAATTATGCCGGCCTGCTCGCCACGCGGTTCCTGCTGGGTCTCTTCGAAACCGCCTGCCTGCCGCTGTTCTCCGTCATCACGTCCCAGTGGTACCGGCGCGCCGAGCAGCCGATGCGAGTGGCCTGATGGTACGGCACCAACGGCCTCTCCACCATGTTCGCGGCGGCGGTCTCGTACGGGTTCGGCCAGGTCAACGGCGCCATCGCGTCCTGGCGGATCCTCTTCCTCTTCGTCGGCCTCGTCACCGTGCTCACGGCTCCCGTCGTGTACTGGATCATGGACAACGACGTGGCGTCGGCCCGTTTCTTGACGGCGCAGGAGAAGCTCCAGGCCATCGAGCGGCTGCGGGCCAACCAGACGGGGACGGGGAGCCGCGACTTCAAGTGGGCGCAGGCGTTCGAGGCGCTGGTCGAGCCCAAGACGTGGCTCTTCGTCGGCATGGCGCTCTGCCTCAACGTCACCGCCATGGTCACCAACACGTTCGGGCCCATCATCGTCGGCGGCTTCGGCTTCGACCCGACCGTCACGTCGCTCCTCAACATCCCCTTCGGCGCCGTCCAGCTGCTCGTCATCTTCCCGTCGTCCTACCTCGCCCACCGCTTCCGCATCAAGTCGGTCTTCCTCGAGGCCATCCTGATGCCGGTCCTCGCGGGCGCCATCATGCTCTACCTGCTGGGCCGCAGCTCCATCCCGCCCCTGCTGGCCGCCTACTACATGCTCGCGTTCCTGTTCGGCGGCAACCCCCTCATCGTGTCGTGGATGATCTCCAACATCGGCGGCGCCACCAAGAAGTCGGTCATCATGTCCCTGTACAACATCGGCGCGTCGGCCGGCAACATCGTCGGCCCCTTGCTGTTCAACTCCAACGACGCGCCGTATTACAAGCCCGGGTTGGAGAAGACCATGGGCATCACGTGCGCGCTCATCGCCATCGTCGGCTTGCAGGTCGTCTGCCTCTTTTACCTGAACAAGAGGCAGGAGCGCAGGCGCGTCAAGAACGGCAAGCCGGCCAAGCTCCGCGATCTCAGCATGGAGCACCGCTATACCAGCGGCAGGGAGGACGGGGAGACGGGCGCTCCTTTGGGCGAGAACGCTTTCAAGGATCTGACCGACTCGAAGAATGACGAGTTTGTGTACGTGTATTAGATTAGATTAAATTCCCCCGGGGGGAAATGGGTTGAAGAGGAACGACACGACATTGGAAAAGAGGAAGAGGGGTTAGGAAGATGAAAATCATGAGCCCCACTGGGCCGTGAAGGAATACATCTGGAGATACACGTGTACAGCCGTACGTCTCGGTACGGAGTATCCGTGCACGCGTTACCATTTCATGGCTTACCTTGATGAACTTTTGAGGTACCTGGAAATAAGGGAAAGTGGACTTTTTTTTGTACATATACCTATACGGTGACGTACTAAATCATTCTGGAAACCCTCGACTCATTCAATGCAGGGTTACGCCCGGCAGGCTTTGTGTGGGGTACAGTAAGCCAAGTCCAGCAAGGGCTACGAGCCCGGACAATAATTCTAGTCCTACCCCTTTAAGTCCGGATTCCGCTTACAGTACCGTGACTTACCTCCGCTTTGTCGCTCGCTCTCGTTCTGGGCTCTCCTTCTCCTTATCCGTCCACCCAACTTGGTCTTTTCGTGATGTATTCTTCGGAACATTCTACTGTCGTTGTTTTCGGGACTTGGGATCAGTGTAATTGGCAGACGCCATACCTACCTACATATACTTGTACCTGAGCTATCATTGTCACCACTGACGGAAAACAAAACCCGACTTCCTCGATGAGCGAGTGCCCCGCCCCCGCTTCGTGGTTCCCCGCTGCCCCGCACCCCAACAGCCCCACACACGAACTGGTACACTACAGGTACGCCTGGCAAGTGCAGAGCCGCCTCCAACTTTGTTTTCTCGCCCAGTGGCCCAGCCTTCTTCCTATCCGGCAGGCATTGCATTGGCTTTCTGTTGTCCTGAGAAACCAAGGTGAGGTGCATTTCGTCCAACTCAACGGTCCATCGCGAGAACGAAATCCCGTTGGCTTATCGGACAAGGGAACATCCTCGTTGCCTCCTGAGCCAAGGCGACGTCGGCTTCATGCTTTCAACACACACTCGTATAGCGCGAACTAGATGCTTCCCAGACACCTGGACAACCAACCCCGTACGATCTGTGCAACCGGCGACAGGGCGTTACTTATAGTGTTACGTCTTGAATACTAACATCTGTAAATCCTAGACCTGGTGGGATACATACGACGAGGTCTGTAGTGCGAGGCAATCTTGCTCAACACTCGAGTCGAGCCAAAGCGGAAGACCGGTCTGACCGTCTGTCAAATCGTGAATCAAACTTGGCATTCGAAAGGACCAACCAGGAGCTGTATTTTACACATCCACATTGAAGCTACGAATCTCAGATATGAACAGACAGACTAATTACTCCGTACCTCAACGCCCGGACCAGCGGGCAAGCTTACCCCCTAGGGGGATGGCTGGATAGCCTGGATCATGGTATCCCTCCTTGGTATATCGCCCCCTTTTCCTCCCACCCCTCCGGCGCACGCTAGCCAGGGTTTTAGCGTCACAGGGGAACCGTCACAGGGACGTCCAAAAAGTGGGGATAGCTTCATGGAGACGCTTCTCGACGACCGTCTCGGCTGCTCTCAGCTTGGGGCTGAAGAAGATATATCAGAGTCAACCACTCACTCACCAACAACCAGGACAATAATTATTCTCAACTCCAAATACGCAACTGTCCTTTAGCTACTACGCCGGCTGGTTCTTCCCCTGGCAGTTCTGACCACGACCACCACAACCACCACGACCACCACGACCAACCACCCCCTCAGGCCACGGTCTCAAGGGAAAGGAGAATAGGAAAAGGACATCGACAGACCGGAAAGTAGAACGAGATGGGCGCGGTTGATATCATCGTCGAGCAGCCCGGCGTCATCGTCCTCGGTGCCGCTGCTGCGGTGAGTAACCATCGCATTTCCATTTTCCATCCAGCTTCCTTTTTCACAGCAGATCTAACCAAGAAACCCCGTGCAGCTCACCCTATACGTGATATGGTGCTGTATCTACAGTCTGTACTTCCATCCCCTGGCCCGGTTTCCCGGCCCATTCCTCGCCAGAATCTCTCCTGTACGTTTTTCTTCTCGACCACCGCATTCCCCGAGACTATTCATAAACGATGCTGACGTGAATTTTCGCAGATCTATAGCATCTATGGCTTGTTCCGAGGACGATGGCCTTTCGACGTCCATCAGCTCCACCTCAAGTATGGACCCATCGTCCGGACAATGCCCAATGAGTTGGCCTTCATCGATCCCGAGGCCTGGAAGGACATCTACGGTCACCGTCAGGGCCACCCTCAATTCCACAAAGATCGTACGTTCTGAAAGCCCACTTCTATCCAAGATTTTGTTCTGAACTCTCATGGAAATCGTCTCGCTAACACGTCTTTCTTGCCCATGTGCAGCCATTCAGTAAGGACGCCCGTCTCGTCGTTTTTATGCAAGACGGATTCGTATAGAGCACACTAACACTCCCTAATAGCGTCGGCTCAGTGCAAGATCTCGAAGGTGCCACGACCTTGACTATGGCCGACGACGCCAACCACGCCCGCCAGCGTCGGGTGCTCTCGCATGCCTTCAGCCAAAAGGCCCTCCTTGAGCAGGAGAGCATCATCCGGGGCTACGTCGACCTCCTCATCACGCAGCTCAAGCCGTTCGCCGCCAGTGGTTCCCCTGTGAACATGTGCGACTGGTTCAGTATGTGTTTTTGTTTTCCCCCTTTCCTTTTTCCCCCTGGGCTTCTCCATCAAATTCGTAAATACACCGCGTCAAACGGCTTAGGCCAACTAACACACCACACTAGACTTTACCACCTTCGACATCATCGGCGACATGGCCTTCGGCGAGCCTTTCGGATGTCTCAAGGATGGCAAATTCCACAGCTGGGTCTCTCTCATCACCGAAACCATCAAGGCGGGCGCTTACGAGCAGGCCACTCGCCGCATGTTCAAGACCGGAACCTTGCCGCAGAGGCTTCTCCTGAAACTGATCCCCGAAAGCCTCCGTCGGAAGCGGTTCGAGCACTTGGAGTTGAGCAAAGAGAAGTGCCTCAAGCGCGTCGATGAAGGTCTCCGTCGCGAGCATCGTGACTTCCTCTACTACATCCTCCGACAGAACGAAAAGGGCGGCGTCCACATCAACGAGATCATCCTCAACTCGGCCCTCTTCATCGTCGCCGGCTCCGAGACCACCGCCAGTCTCCTCAGCGGCCTCCTCCTGCACCTCCTCCGCACGCCGCACGTCTACGCCCGCCTGACCGCCGAGATCCGCGACACCTTCACCTCGGCCGCGAACATGAAGTTCCTCGACCTGCAGGAGATGACCTACATGAACGCCTGCATCGACGAGGCCCTGCGCATCTTCCCCCCCGTCCCCACCGGCCTGACCCGCACCGTCCCGGCCCACGGCGACACCGTCGCCGGCGAGTTCCTCCCCGGCGGCACCACCGTCTCCGTCTACGCCTGGGCCGCCACCCACTCCCCGCGCAACTTCACCCGCCCGGACGAGTTCATCCCCGAGCGCTGGCTCGACTCGGCCTACGACGCCGACAAGAAGGACGCCAGCCAGGCCTTCTCCCTGGGCCCCCGCGGCTGCATCGGGAAGCACCTCAGCTACCTCGAGCTCCGCCTCATCCTCGCGAACCTCCTCTGGTACTTCGACATCGAGAAGCTCCCCCCCGGCCCCGGCGAGGAGGACCTGTGGGACGTCTCGGGCGACCTGCATCACGTCAAGGCTTTCAACACCTGGAACAAGCCTCCTCTGATGGTCAAGCTGACTCCCGTGAAGCGGTAGACGGTCCGGCTGAATAGATAGATAACTGGCCACAGACGTTTTACGAAGCATTGAATCAAATAAAATAAAAAGGGGGCAAATAAAGCAAGAAGAAAAGTCTTTGCCGATGTATGGTAGTGAGTGAGTGGTATCATGAGCCTCAAAAAATCCATTCGCAAAGCATTGTCCCCATCAACCAAATTCGCGGTAGCATTCTGGCTCACCTCTCCATCCGCTCATCGTGCACAAAATCCACACTACATCTCTCCTCACCCTTCCAAACCTTCGCCCCGGAATTGCACGCGGCGGCGGCGGCACGAGCATCGGTCAACATGCTCGGCGGCCCGCTCGCGAAGACAATAGTCCGCCCCCTCGCCGTCCCCTCGACGAATTCCCTGATGAGCCGTCCCAGATCCGGGTGACCTCTCGAAGACGTGGCCTTGACCGTGCTCACCGACGACACGGCAGCCTGCTTCTCCTCATTCTCTGCATCCGAGGACCTTTCCTGGTCCGAGCTGCTCGGCTCCGCATCCCTCGTCGGGAGGATCGTCAAGCTGATGCCGCCGTTCTTGGACAAGAGGTCCAGCTCCGGCCCGACCCATTCGGCGTCCTCGGCGTGTCGGACCACCCAGACAAGTTCGATTTTTCGGGCCGGGGAGGTGTTGTTGCTCGCGCCGAGGAGAGATAGGAGTACAGGTAGCACATAAGTGATGCCGGTGCCGCCTGCAATGCACAGGATGTTGGCATCGTGAGTGACGTTGCGCATGGTAGAGTCGCCGTAGGGGCCGGTCAAAACCACCGAGGTCGAAGGCGTCTCGGGCTTATCAGCCGAAGCGGCAGCGGCAGCGGCCGACTTGCGCGCAGCGAGCTCGGCGATCTTCTTCGTCTCGCCCTGCTTACCCCTGAAGATGTACGAGTGGCGGGTCCGGCCGTTCACGGTGACGGGAGCGTTCAGCGGCGTGAACGGGTGCGACTGCCAGATGCTGCTCTCCGGGAAGCAGAGGTAAAAATGCTGGCCGACCTGCCAGGCCTCGTGGGGGTGTTCGAAATCCAAGCGCACGACGTCGCCGTCTTCAGGATGGGGGAAGGTGGTCATGGAGGCACGAGCGGCCACGAAGCCCCGCTTGGCGCCGTCGACGAAGTTGTAGTGCACGAGGAAGGTCCTTACGCCCCGCGCGGCGCGGTCGATGAACCAGAGAAGGATGGCCGGGGTGAGGAAGCAGTGGAGCTGCTCCCAGTGGCCGATGCAGGCGCCCATGTAGACGAGAGCGAGGACGTAGTGCGACTTCCGGAAGAACTCGTAGCCAGTCAGGCGGATGACGGGCGGCAGGGACAGGACGTAGAGGAGCAGCAGGAGGCCCATGGCAACGACGCCCCAGATCATGTAGAGCTGGACAATCCAGTTCTGGGCGACTTGCGGCTGAGGCTGGTACAGCCTGATCTCGATGATACTCCAGCCGATGGTGTGGAGGCTGGACTGGACGACGATGATGTAGCCGAGCCACCGGTGCAGGAAGTTGAAGTTCTGGTAAGGGATGCCGGTGAGGACGGAAAGAAGGGACTCGCGGTTGGCGAGGAGAACGGAGAAGGGCGTCAGGGCATAAGCAAGGACACCGACCCTGTCGGCGAAAGGCCCCAGGCTCGAACGGGTGTTGTATTTCCCAGGATGGGCGGCAACGGGGGTGATCCAGATCCCATAGACCATGCCAGCGAAGGTCCAAATGGTGAGGTAGCCGGTGAGGATGGCGAGGATAAGCACCTGGAGGCGCGTGGTACGTCCGAAGATGGGGCGGCAGCAGTCAGGCAGGAGAAAGCGATTGATATAGGACCAGAGGGTGAGGCGCAGTCGCGTCAAGAAGCCCGGGCTGGTGTTTTGTGCGCTCTCGGCCTGGCCGTCGGTCAACGGGCGAGGATTCTGCCGGGACAAAGGCGTGAAGACACGCCTGAGGACGGCCCAGATGAGCAGGATGCCGCCAATGGTCGCCCATATGATACCGGTGTAGATCATGCCGACATCGTGGGCATCGTAGACGACGTCGAGGTAGGCGCAAGAGCCGGGGTCGTTGACGCAGGGGACAACACGGTCGGCATAGCCCCAGTGCGGCTCCAGGGACTCGGCAGAGGCATGATCCTGAATATGCCGGGGAGACAGGTCAGGGACGGTGGCGGAGGCCATCCTCGGAGACTGGGAGAGGTGAAGGTGCTTAGGTGACTGCAGGAGAGAGACGGGGTGACTCGGGTGAGGGACGGGGACGGGGAACGAGAGAATACGAGAGACAGTCCAACCATACCGTGGGAAGTGTATAATTCCGTGGCGACGACGCGCACATATGTATCCGCACTCTTCTTCTTCATCTTACCGGTTTACCCTTGTCAAGTTGTCATGCTCGACGAAGCACGGATCCGGGTGGGGAGGAGCAAGGCCATGACGGGCAGTTGATCCGGTATGATACGCATTGTGTCTTCTAGGATCGCGATGCTACCATACTGGAGGTGGAGCGGCAGAGAAAGATAGTAACTAAGGTATTGATTAGGTAGACGTTGAAAAACGGTGCACGAAGCAATAGTTCGTACGAAGTATGTAAGAGAACCGAACTTGGAAGCAACGTGGAGTCGTGATAGTGGCACTAAAATGTTTGGTTGAATGGTTGAATGTTTGGTTGAGACCTTGGTGAAGCCCCGTCGGACCTTCTCTGTCGGACGCTCCTGCTCCGGAGCATGTTTGAGCAGGTTTTGTGGGGCTGCGGGGCTACGGGGCTGCGGCGTCACGGGGGTACCCAAGTTCGGCACCTTGATGACCCACGATATCGGAAGTTGCACCTCTTAACGATCCGTTGCCCTTTATCTCGGGACTAAGTTCAGTGCGTTGTACCTTACCTTATAGAATAAGGTAGGTAGGTACCTTAGGTAGGTACCTTACCTTAGTGATCAAGTTTCCTCTCACCAGAGCTCTGCACCTACCTAGGTAAGGTAGGTATGTTTTAAGGCGGTATTTACTTAGTAGGTATTGAACCGTGCTCTGTCCTTTATATATATATATATATATATATATATATCGTGTCTGTTTTACCTATCCACCTTGTGAGCACGTTTGCGGGTCCAACCAAGATCATAAGGTCCAAGAGTACGTGATGACAAGGTCACGACTCACAACACGGACAACTCTCGGGACTTCCTGCCCGTGTCTTTCTTCTTACGGAAAGTTATCTAACAGGGATTCAATTTGAGTCCCGCTCGACGGTTCCTTCCATCGTCAGACCTTGAATCTCAGAACCAGGTAACAATATCTAAGGTACTAAAGGATGAGGTGAGGCCGGTCATGAGGCACTGTCGGATTATACGTGACGAGAACGGATAACGGTTGACGAACCACTGTTCCACCTCTTATTCTCATAATCCTACGCTCTCCGTCCTCTCCCTCACTCACCACCATCCTACGGGCATCTTCATCGTCTTGTCTTCATCCCTGGGACGGCTCCATCTCTCCTGCTCAAGAGTAAACTGCGAATAGAGCTGCGGCTCGAGACCTCTCGACATGTCCGCCCACCCCCATTCCTCCCACGGCGATGGTTCCGACTGCAACATCTCTGTAGGTGGCACATCACCTCTCAACCAATCCATCCCACTGTCCATCCCACTGTCCTAATGTCCACCTTCTCGCCCTGGTCTAGATGCTTTGGAACTGGTCCACCATCGATGCCTGTGAGTTCAGACTTCAGAGTTCTCTGCCGCCAACCCTCCCATCTCCTACTGTCTTCCCCCGACCAGCCGGTACCAAACCCGTTCATCTTGCTCACCATTCCCCAATCCCCTTTCTAGGCTTCCTATCCGAATCGTGGTATATCCACAACAACGGCGCCTTCGCCGCCAGCTGCATCGGCGTGGCCCTGCTGGCCGTCTGCCTCGAGCTGATCCGCCGCCTGGGGAAAGAATACGATGCCCTCCTCCTCCGCCAATTCCACGCCCGCGCCCTCGAGATGGCCTCCGCCGGAGCCAAGGGTCGAGACGACCGCCCCATCTGCTGCGATAACATCCGATCCGGGGACCTCGCCGCCACCCACCCGACCATCATCTTCCGCGCCTCCCCGCCGGAACAGCTCATCCGCGCCGTGCTTCATCTGGTCTTCTTCGGCCTCGCCTACATCCTCATGCTGCTCGCCATGTACTACAACGGGTACATCATCATCTCCATCATCCTCGGCGCCGGCCTCGGCAAGTTCTTCTGCGACTGGCTGGTCTACAGGGTCGACGTTCCCCCTCCTACGCTTGCCAGAGGTGTGGAGGAGCCTGCCGTATGTTGCGGATGATCTTGGGACGTTGTTCTGTTGCTAGTTGATTGTTGGTTGTTGATTGTCGCGTCACTTTTGATCCTCGTCAGGAGATACCCACTTCATACGTTTATGCAGGGAAATGGAGTTTACAATAAAGAGAGGAGGAATGATCAAACTCAGCTGAAGGAGGCCGAATACTCGTCAAGATAATTCATGCTGCCCCTGCCCCTGCCCCTGACCCGCCCACATGATGATGCACTCCTGTTCGCCGACCGAAAGAAACCCCCAACGTCAGGGCATATACTTCCCCCCGTCCTGCTTGAATAACCAGTCGCTGTTTGCATCCACCATGAAATTCGTGATATTAAACTCATTAGTAGACGGTGGCTGACCCCGCCCAGGGTCCTCGCCGCCTCCGTCCACACCATCGCTAGGGGCACCGTTCTGGCCCGCCGCTTCCGCCAACCCCTGCTGAATCCCCGCGGCGAGCTCCCCGCCAAACGGCAACCTAGGGACATTGAAAAAGTCGAAAACGTCAAGGTACGCAAGCTCGTTCGGGGCCGGCGTCCTCGTCGGCGTCACGCTCGGAAGCCGACTACCGCGACCCCGAGTCGGCAGACCGTGGGCGGCGCGCGGGGGTTGCCGCGAGATGAGGAGGTCGAGGTCGAACGCCGTGCGGCGCATGTCGGAGAGGATCTTGACCGAGCGGGGCGTGACGCCGTCGCCCGCGCGCTCGCTGTCGCGGTGCTCGTCGAGCACGCGCTGGAGCAGCTCGCAGTAGCGCGCCGCCACGGGCCAGTGCCGCCCCATCTCGCGCAGCGTGTCGACGAAGAAGTGGATCTGCGGGGAGACCTTGTGTTCCACCGTCGAGCCGTGCACGAGGAGCAGCCGGGCTGCCACCCAGAGCGTGAAGGCGAAGGGGGGGCCCAGTTTGGTCAGGAGGTTCTGGTGGACGACGAACTCCCCCAGGGCGGCGATGTTCTCCACTGCGCCGTGGCAGCGCTGCGAGGCACTGTATGAAGCCGTGAAGATGGGGGACCGAGTCGTCGGATACGCCGCGGACGAATGTAACCGGATGACCGCCGTGTGGTACGTGGCGTGCAGCATGACCCAGCCGCAGTTGAGCGTCTTATTCCCGGGCTGGAAGAGCTTGGCCATGTTGCCGTATTCCCCGGGAAGCCCGAATTTCCAGGACGTCAGCATGCTGTCCAGCTCCTTGTACCTCATCTGCCATCGTTCCACGTCGGCGAGCGCGCTGATATCTACCGGCTCCTTGAGAAACTTGTGTATCTTGGAAAGAATGGCCAGGATTTCGATGTAGTAGGAGAATGCGCCCAGGTTCTCGGGTTTGTCGGCATCGTACTCCGGGTTGGTCTCTTCTGAGCGGTCCTGGGTGCGGAACCAGCGCGTCTCGACCTTTCGGTTCTTCATCCACAAGTCGTCGCGACAGGGCAGCGTTCTGTCAATCTCCTTGTCGTCCAGCGCAAACTCAAAGGCGGTCGCGATGGTCGCGTAGCGATCCAGGAGGTAGATTGTCCAAAACAATCGCCGCCTCGATTCTTCCTCGACAAAGTCCCGCGGCTCCGGTAGTATCATGGCGCGTAGGGTGTAAATGGAGGTGTAGCTGGGGGAAACGGAAAACGAGGTCGTCTCCACAGCGAGCCCGAGCTGAACGACGGACCGGGTGATGAGAGCCATGACGTTCCAGCCCGGCGGCCCGTTGCTGCTTCCGACTAGGTCTAGGGCAAGGATGACGAGGGCCTGTAGCGATTTGACTGACGAGTGTTCCATTCCGTGAAGCAGGACGCGTCGTTTGGCAACGGAATAGAAGTGCCGCCTGCTTTCGTCCGTCAACCTTGCGTCGGTCGAGTAGCGTAATGTCGTCGCGACGATGGCGTGTAGAAGGATCCGGTCCTCTTCGCTTACGGTGGTGGGACCAAAGAGGGAGTCTAGTGTCGTCTTGCGGTGAAGAATCGGACACCACGTGTTGATATGTTTGAAGTAGAGGTCAACGAGTGCGTAGAGCAGATCATAGGGTGGGAGGTCCTGGTCCGGCGGCGTCGTCGTGGCCTCCTGGGTTGCTACCATGACGGCCTCAGGGGAGTGCAGTGGGTGTTGTTGGTTCGGATTATAATAGGCCTGGGCTGCAGGAGTAGGTTGCTGGTGCATGGTGCCGACGTGGCTGGGGGCGGGCATTGAGCCCATGTGCACCTGGGACTGGAACTCGTGGATGGTAGGGGTAGGGGGTGGCATGCCAAAGTCCATGGCTTGCGTCGTGGACGGGTAGGTAGAGGGCTTCTGAAGGAAGAGGGCGGTTTCGGCTTGCGGCGTGCGGATGAGCTCAGAAGGACGGAATGCATTTGCACTCTCCCTCGGGGTCCCATGATCGCTGGGTAGGCTCGGGTTGCTGGTGCGGACGCTTGGCGCGGCGTTGTTGCTGTTGCCGTTGCTGTTGCCGTTGCTATTGCCGTTGCTGGCCTTATTCAGCTGTTGCTGAGCAGAGGCAAACGTGGACTGCAAGATCTCCGAGTGAGCCTTGAGAATCTCTTCAAGCTTGTCGAGGCGCTGTTCGAGCTCGCGACCGTATCCGGCTCGTAGACCAGGCTTCTTTCTCTCCTTGTATTCGCAAAATGCGCCATTTCGGCCACACCATCCACATGATGGCTGGCCACGGTCACATTTGACCTGGCGAGCAGGTAAAGCGAAGTTAGCTAAGCGCTCCCTCTGTCAAATGGAAATCCGATGAGTGGCGGCCGGGAACAGCTAAAC